CCCTAGAAGAATATCTCTTAATCTCTTTGGCAACTGAGAAGATCATGTTCAAGGGCAGGTCTTACAAAAAATTATATCAAAATCCTTGACTATTTCAATCTTGTTTCTCCAGAGAAGCCATTCTTCGTATGCCTCATTTAAACAAAACTCAAGTACAATACCTTATACTTGTATGGCACCCTTCAGTTTATAAAGCACATTAACACATATTATCTCATTCTACCTTCTGAACAACCCTCTCATACAGATAGATAATAATGTGCACATTTTTATAAAAGAGGAATAAAATAAAGCTCAGAAAGGTAAGTGATTTGTCCAAAATCACAAGATTCATTAAGAGCAGCCTGGGGCCCAAGTACCTGCTTCCTAACCCCACGTTCTGTGCTGCCTCTGTTCTGCTCGGCCAGCTCCGTCCTCATGAAATGTTGGCCAAGATGGAACTATCCGAGTTGATCCTTTCACATTTGTGCTTTCCCACTCCCAGTCCTTCAAAGTCAGGTACTTCAAGATTTTCAGACGTAGCGCAGGTCTTAAGAAATTAACAAGATTATGTTTCATTACTGGAAACTAATTTCTTCTCTCATTCCCTCTGCAATCCTTAAGGTATAAGTAACCTAAAGACACTTACTGCAATAAGCAACCTGAAAAGCAGAGGAGTGATGAATAAGACCTTGGAAGGCAACCGATTGCCTTTTCCATTCTGCGTATCTTGAGTTTTTTCACAAATACAACAGAAGTTTGCTTTTGCCTTATTTGTCTATTTCGTTATGTAACTGACCTTAAATGATTGAATAACAGTCCAGACTGTGATTCAGTGCACTGTTATTTCCTACTTAGTATTATCAGAAGCTATTGGAGAAAACACTCTCAGTGCTATCCAAAAAGAAATCTTTTAAGATTCTATTCAAAGATACTGTGTTTTCCTGTGAAAAGGAATAAAAGATGAAATTGTCAAACATAAGATTATAAAATTATAATTATTGATTTTTATGAAAAACGTTCATCCCCCTCCAATTTTTTTTTCTGTAATAGAAAACTAAGGGAAAAAATAGATATAATGAAACATATGATACATGCACAACAGGTGTGCCAAAGGTAATACTAAGACATCAGCATGGACACTTAGAGTTACTTCCTTAAAATTCTTCACTGACTTGTATGAAAAGAGAACATTATGTTGTATTCTTAAGTACTCTATGGTATTCATGTGAAATCATCTTGCAGATTTTTCTCCCTAAAAATTCTATAGCAGTGCCCATGAAAATATGCTGAGAATTAAAAGAAAAATATTTCCTCAGTGACCAGAGAAAACCATTAAAAGTTGGTATGCTTCTGGGTGTTATTCTATATGTTGACAAATTGAACACCAATAAAAAATAAATTTATAAAAAAAAAAGTTGGTACGCTTCACAAGAAAAACTGTGCAGCATCCAAAAAAACCCCTGTTAATATAATCAACCAAACAACAAAAATAAAAAGCACTAAACAATCAAGTTCCCCAATGTTCTTTTGTTTTGTTTTAATCCTTTGATGGTTACATGTCTGTGCCTTTGTGCAAAGTTACACTCACGATGGCTTTCTTCTTTCCTTGAAATATATCTGCTTATCTAAGGCAAGCGACCATTCTATTGTCCATACTCCAGGCCTGTATCCTGAACTACTAACCATGACGTTCCTTTTTCATCTTTCAGGCTTCCTCAGTTCTTTCCTTTTATTTAGCAAATCCAATCTGTGAGAAATTCATTTTACATGAATTATATTTTACTATCATGATTGATGCAATCAACAACCTCATGCCTAAAGGAAGATTCCTCCCTTTATCACCATCTCCTGCCCCACCCTATCCACACCAAGTTATCCTACCCTTACCCATTATGGGACTATAGGATAGCAGCATTTCAACCACAAATTTAATATTATCATTGTGGGTACCTGGGTGGCTTATTCAGTTAAATGTCTGCCTTCAGCTTAGGTCAGGATCCCAGAGTCCTGGGATTGAGTGGCCTTGGCCTCAGGCTCCCTGCTCAGTGGGGAGCCTGCTTCTCTCTCTGTCCCTTTCCCTACTCATGCTCCCTCACTCTCCCACTCTCTCCCCATCTCAAATTAAAAAAAAAAAAAAAAAACCCTAAATAATATACGAATGTTAAGAACTAGTACCTGAACTGTTATAGACAAGTCATTATCTGCCAGGAGAATGCTCTAAAATTGAGAGGAAGTCCTACTTTGTACTTATGAGAGATTAACTTGAGGTGTTCTACCAAATAAGAAGCTCTGCAAGCATCTACTTCCTTTTTCAACATACAGATCTAGGTCTCCATGGAGTATGTGGCCAGCTCTACTTTGAAGCCTGAGCCCTTCTTTCATCTTCGGGCAACTCATTTCTGAACCTGTAGATATACTTGAAGAAGGCTCAGAGGAAAAAGAAGAAGAATGATTCATGGCTTGGATGAAATCATTAGTTAAGGGAGTTTACAGGAATTTTCAGATGTACAAGATTTCCTAGCAAGACTAAGGGAATTTCATGGCCACATATCTCATGGGTGGAAAATGTGAGACAGTCATAAGAACATTTTTGCTAGGTTAGAAGGAAATGAACTGAAGGTAGGACTTTTCCCTGCGAAAAAGAAAAATTCAAGCTTTCATGGTGCTCAGATTTGATCATATTAGAACTTCCATCTTCATATGTCAAAATAAAGAGAAGACTATTAAAGAATAAAAGCAAAAATACAGTAGAATATATTTATATGCCCCGCCTCCTAACAAGATTCAAATATAGTTGGGATCCCTGGGTGGCTCAGCGGTTTAGCACCTGCCTTCAGTCTGAGGCATGATCCTGGAATCACAGGATTGAGTCTCACGTCAGGCTCCCTGGAGGGACCCTGCTTCTCTCTCTGCCTGTGTCTCTGCCTCTCTCGCTCTCTCTCTGTGTCTCTCATGAATAAACAAATAAAATATTTATTAAAAAATTCAAATATAGAACTTACACAGGTTTCCAAATAGGCACAGACACTAGAATAAACTTATCAGAATGTACTGGGCAAAAAAGGAGAATAGCAAGAAGATCTTAAAACATAAATAACCCAAATAAAATGATGTGATGTCTGAAATGTCTTTAAAATATATAAGAGAAGTGAGGGAGAGGGAGATAAAATTGTCCATGAGTTTACAATTGACTAAACTGGGTGATACATATGTTTCATCATACAGTACTTCTTTCCCTACTTTTGTCTATACTGGAAAATAATAAGTAAAAATATAATATATACATACAAAAATATTATATATATAATATATATATAATATTATATATTTTATACATACACACACACACGCATACCTACTAACTTGATAAATTTCTAAAGAGAGCCAGACTGAGATCTGCATTTAACAGGAGGACTGGTCAAAAAGAATAATCAAAATTATTACAATGGCCTTTAATACTAAAAAGTTACCTGAAATCACTACAGATACAATACCCATGCGTCAACTGAAAACTAAAGATGAATTTTGATCACTTTACCTTAAATTTGTTGCTTAAAACTGGTACTTCATTATATAGTGAGGGACTTGATAGATTCATCTATCAAAGTACCATTTCAGTTATCTTCCAGTTTTCTGGAGATGTGTGATATAAAATTGCTTTAAGTGGATTACGTCCTGTGTTCAACCTTCACACTTTGAGAGAGCAAATATTCTGATCGCTGGAAGCCCATTCTCCACAAGTCTTCCATGTTCCTGTGCCTTGCAAGCCAGACTTGTATCCTGAACTTCTCACCATTTGCCACAACATTCCTTTTTCACCATTCAACTTCCTCGGTTCTTTCCCTGTATTTAGCAAGTCCAATCTGTGAGAAATTTATTTTACATGGATTTATTTTCACATTCCATTTATTACAGACCATCCTTTGCTTTTGTTTTGTTTTTATCCTTTGTTTTAAGACTATCTTTTCAAGGATTTTTGTGCAGGAATGGCCTTGAAAGATAGAAATAATTTCTCCCACTGGAGCAAAGGGCAAATAGGCTTACTTCCCATTATTAAAGTTTGGGGTTCTAACACGACTTGTGAGGACCGGGTCGCAGCAAATCATCATGCATGAGCACAATGCTCATGCTGTTTACTGTGCCATGAATAATAAAATTCTTTGTCTCTGACCCAAGAGTCTCATGTCTTTTGCTGGTAGCAACAAAACAGCAACAAGATAATCTAGTAGCTTGCTAGTAGAATAAAATCTCAGATGCTTCACAAATCTTGACCCTCCTAAATTGAAATGGTAAATATACTGTGCCTGGCATGAAAGTGACCTATATTGAGATAACTGCAAAGAAGCCTTCAACTGAATTCATTTTGAAGGACTCTAGTTAAAAATTAGCAATGCCTGCCAAGCAAGACAGCAGGGAGGCTACATTATGCACACTATTAATGCTGTCCTTGTGAAGTTACTTGTGTCAGTGCCAGCTACATAGAAAGTGCTCAGTAAATGATTACCAAACTGAAATGATTGTTGAAGTTCTAGAATCTAATACTAGATTTTAATGTATTGAATCCTGAAGAGTCACATATAACTTTCAGCATTAAGTTGGTTTTTAGTTTAACAGAATTTCTTCGAAAATTAAGTAGAAAGGTTCTCTGCTTCTCCCTGTTTGACAGAGAGCCACATCTTCTGGTATAGTGCCAGCCACGTCCCCGAGACACAATGGTGAAGGTCGGAATGAACGGATTTGGCTGTATCGGGGCCTCATCACCACGGCTTTTTTTCAACTCTGGCAAAGTGGATGTTGTCACCATCAATGACCCCTTCATTGACCTCAACTACATGATGTACATGTTCCAGTAGGATTCCAGCCACAGCAAAATCCATGACACGGTCAAGGCTGAGAACAGGAAACTTGTCATCAGTGGGAAGTCCATCTCCATCTTCCAGGAGCAAGATCCCACCAACATCAAATGGGGTGATGCTGGTACTGAGTATGTTGTGGAGTCCACTGGGGTCTTCACCACTATGGAGAAGGCTGGGGTTCACTTGAAGGATGGGGCCAAGAAGGTCATCATTTCTGCTTCTTCTGCTGATGCTCCCATGTTTGTGATGGGTGTGAGCCATGAGAAGTATGACAACTCCCTCAAGATTGTCAGCAATGCGTCCTGCATCACCAACTACTTGGCTCCTCTGGCCAAGGTCATCCATGACAACTTCAGCATCATGGAGGGACTCAGGACCACTGTCCATGCCATCACTGCCACCCAGAAGACCATGGACAACCACTCTGGGAAGCTGTGGCATAATGGCCAAGGGGCTGCCCAGAACATCATCCTTGCCTCCACTGGTGCTGCCAAGGCTGTGGGCAAGGTCATCCCTGAGCTGAATGGGAAGCCCATTGGCAGGGGCTTCCATGTCCCCACCTTCAATGTGTCAGTCATGGATCTGACCTGCCACCTGGAGAAAGCTGCCAAATATGATGGCATCAAGATGGTGGTGAAGCAGGCATCAGGGGGCCCCCTCAAGACATCCTGGGGTACACTGAGGACCAGGTTGTCTCCTACAACTTTAACAGTGACACCCACTCTTCCACCTTTGACGCCAGGGCTGGAATTACCCTCAATGACAACTGTGTCAAGCTCATTTCCTGGTATGACAGTGAATTCAGCTATAGCAACCAGGTGGTGGACCACACGGCCTCCAAGGAGTAATAACCTCCTGGACCACCAGCCCCAGCAAGACCAAGAGGAAGAGAGAGGTCCTCAGCTGCTGGGGGAGTCCCTGCCTCAACTTATCCCCCAACACACTGAGAATCTCCTGACTTCCAGTTTCCATCTAAGACCCCCCCTGAGGAAGGAGAGGGAGTTGGGGAGCCCAACCTTGTCATGTAACATCAGTAAAGTATACTGTACTAAAAAAAAAAAAAACTAAGTAGAAAAACAAGGCAGGCATTTTACACTCTGTATGTAAGATATAAGCAATACAACTCAAATTTTTCAATGTAAAACAGAAAAGTTCACAAATTTTCATTACTTAAAGAGAATTAGAAAAATCAAATTATAAGTAATATTTATGAAGCTATAAACTTAAGAACTGCCAAAATTGTAATCCCATGTATTACATCAAAATGTTGGCAAAGTTCTCATGCATCTAAAATGCCCCAATTTTCTTGGTGTAAATAGACAAGGCTTTCAAAATAATTCAGAGGTAACGTATTTAGGATCAAACCAGGACAGGTGCTCCAACAACACTGATAAATGAGATGAGTTTTATTATACACAATGAATAATGTAATGCTTTCCACTGAATTAATTAATAGATTTCATGGGGGGAAATGGCTCGACTTTGGATTTCTCTATCATTGCACTGATTTGGCACAAATTCACTTACTAGAATGCCATAAGATGTCACTGAAAAATGGAAAGGGGAAATCTTACTATATTCAATCCTATCATAAGAGTACACCTTTAATAAGTGAATTTTTTTGTGTGTGAAGCATTTATGTGGACAAGACCACAAACAAGCTTGTGAAACTGCTGGTTCTACCAAAGTGTGTAAAGATGTTAATTTATGTTAGTGGACACAGTCAGGACACCCCCACAAAATCCCACCAAAAAAAAAGAAAAGGTGTTAGTGGCAATGGCCATTAAAAAGTATGAGTGTCAATTTAGTCTGTATTTACTATGTAGTTGTGATTCACTGATTGGGAATTGTTCTAAACACTTTTTTTGCTTGATAGTATTTGATTTCAAGCATATACAATAAATCCTCAGCAGAAAGGTTAAATAATCTTGATGTGAGGTATTCCTAGGCTTCCAGCTTAAATGTTGGTCAATTATTTACCAAACTGAGCAAGACTTTTTTAAGATTTTATTTATTTATTCATGTGAGACACACAGAGAGAGGCAGAGACATAGGAAGAGAGAGAAGCAGGCTCCATGCAGGAAGCCCAATGTAATACTCAATCCTGGGACTCCAGGATCACTCCCTGAGCCAAAGGCAGAGGCTCAAACACTGAGCCACCCAGGCATCCCAAACTGAGCAAGATTTTAAGAGTAATAAAAGGAGAGGGAAGACATTTATGAAATATGTTAAGATGATATATGGGGCAGCCCGCATGGCTCAGCGGTTTAGCACTGCCTTCAGCCCAGGGCATGTTCCTGGAGACCTGGGATCAAGTCCCATGTCAGGCTCCCTGCATGGAGCCTACTTCTCCCTCCGCCTGTGTCTCTGCCTCTCTCTGTCTCTCATGAATAAATAAAATCTTTTTTAAAAAGATGATATATGAAATTGAAATAAATATGAAATATACATTGAAGATGTCCAGCATCAAGGAGATGCCTTCAAGGAAGAGAATTTGAGACCTGTCAATACACAAAGAGAATCTAAAGCCCTGAAACAAAATTATCTACAGAATGAGACAGAAGCATTTCTGTACTGAGCCAATATTGTAGTCTGGTAGGAGGAGCTAAGAAAACAGAAAGGCATATCCAGCAAAACGGAGATGGTCCCAAAGATGGAGTAATCAATTTTAATGTGAGTTACTGATGGATTATGCAGATTAAGAACTTAAAGGATTTTCAAAGATGAATGAATGTATCTAGTAACCTTGAGAAAATTTCTCTATATGGAAAGAACAACAAAATGAGTTCAAGAATGAATTTTAAAAAAGATGTGAACAAGGAAGAAAACGTGTAGAAAACATTTCTGAGAATTCAGAAACAGAGAATAATGAGATAATCATTGAAGGAGGATAAAGTGTGAATGAAGGGTTTTGTATGATTGAAATAATAGAATAGAAACCGAATATACAGAAAAGACAGGATATTCCTGAAGTAAGAAAGTTCTTAGGATGATGAAAATGGAAGGAATCCAGAGCAAATATGGTGAGTTTGTATGCAGGAGCAAAGGAGAGGTTGATGAATGTGCTTTCATATATGTAGATATAAAGATGGCAGGATGTGGACATATGTTAATAAAATTCTTTTCTTCAGTGATATATAAGACACAGTATCAGATAAAATGATAACTGGGGCTAAATGGAAATTTTGAGAAGAGAGTTGAAGTATGAAATTGTCACTGAAGAGGGTGGAAGAGTGAGCTTCTTAGAGAAACACAGCAGATTTGTAATAATAGGATTGCTCGGCATCTGCAGCTAAAATGGCTCTGTAATAGAGTGTTTTTCATAATTTTGGCAGCTCTCAACTCTTTCATTTTCTCCTTATGAATGTCAAGGTTTCATTGACTAGTTCTAGGTTATTTTGAACTGGTAGGCCCTCAGAGGTTTGAGAGCAGTAGTCAAGTTAGGGTCAAGATTCCCTGGAAGTCTGGTACCAAACAGCTTCATTAAATTATGTAAATTTAGGTCTCACCATCCACAGAACTAGGCAAATCATCACTCTAAACCAAGGTAGTACTATTGAGCTTTTGCACTGGGATTTGTAAGGAAGCTGGAAAAATAATAATTTGGGGGAAACTGAGATTAGCTATTTTGTATAACTCAAAGGGGGATAAGCCATATTACTTGAGGGCATACATGGAACAAAGCAATACTAAGACAAAAAAAAAAAAAAAAAGACGGGTCAAGACTCCATGTCTGCTATAGCTATCAAGAGTTTCGTATTTAGAGCCCCCTTCTATTTTTCCCAAAGTCAACATGTTCTCACCATAAGACCCTTTTGGATGTTGTTGGCAGCATCCAACATGCAACGCTGTCCTCTGGAGACAGCCATCTGAACCAGTGTAAGACTATGACCCAATGACCAACAATGGGGCTGGGCATGAAGCTCTGAGTAAAAGTGACATAAGATAGCAATCAGTTATAGCAATCTTTTTTTTGAGATTTTTAAGATTCACAACAGAAAGAATGACTCTGTTATCAGTCACAGCAACATTTTTTCTATATATTTCTCTGGAGGCAAAGTGAATAAAAGCAAAAATAAGCTGTTGGAAATACATCAAAATAAAAAGCTTCTGCACAGAAAAGGAAGTAATAAACAAAACTAAAAGACTCAGTCTCCTGAATGAAAGAAGATATTTACATATGACATATCCAATAAAGGGTTAGTATCCAAAATACACTGGGACCTTCTAGAACTTAAAACCAAAAGAAAAAAAAAAGAAAATCCAATTTAAAAAATGGGCAAAAGACATGAACAGACGTTTCTCATAAGACGACGTACAGATGGACAACAAACACATAAAAAGATGCTCAACATCACTTATCATCAGGGATATGCAAAGCAAAACCACAGTAAGATATCACATCATATCTGTCAGAATGGCTAAAATAAAAAACACAAAAAACAAGTGTTAGCAAGGATCTGAATAAAAAGGAAACTTTGTGGACTGTTCATGAGAATGCAAACTGGTACAGCCACTGTGGAAGACAGCATGAAGATTTCTCAAAAAAAATAATAGTAGAATTACCCAGGGTCCAGGAACTCCACTATTGAGTATTTATCTAAAGGATATGAAAACACTAATTCAAAAAGATATATGCACTCCTAGGTGTATTGCAGTATTTACAATAACCAAATTATGTGAGCAACCCTAATTTCCATCAATAGATGCATGGATAAAGAAAATGTGGTATACATATACAGTGGAGTATTACTCAGCCACAAAAAATGAAAATCTGCCATTTGCAACAACATGGATGGATCCAGAGTGTATAATGCTAAGTGAAATAAGTTAGAGAAGGTCAAATACCATATGCTTTCACTTTTATGTGGAATCTAAGAAGAAACTAATGAACAAATTAAAAAGAGACAAACCAAAAAAAACCAGATTTTTATTTTTTATTTATTTATTTATTTTTAAAAAACAGATTTTTAAATATAAAACATAAACCGATGGTTACCAGAGGGGAAGTACACAAGGGGGTGGGTGACATAGATGAAGGGGATTAAGAGTATACTTACCATGATGAGCAGTGAGTCATGTATAGAATAATATACCTGAAATAATACACCTGAAACTAAGGTAGCACTATGTTAATTACACACTGGAATTAATTTTTTTTTTTTAAGAGCAAGCTGAGCTATTAGTGGAGACAACAGAAGCCAAATGATGTACGAATGTTTGGAGAAAGAACAGTAATAGAATACAGAGCTCTGTGAATTCCTGGTATAATATGATAACCCAGTTATATATGTCTTACCAGTACCCTCAGAATTCTGGAAGTCTTTTTCATTGATAGCACAAACATCTAATTAAACATCTAATATTAAGCACCTTAATATTCTTTTTTTTTATTATGATGTTTTATTTATTTTTTTAATAATTTTTTATTTATTTATGATAGTCACAGAGAGAGAGAGAGAGAGAGAGGCAGAGACACAGGCAGAGGGAGAAGCAGGCTCCATGCACCGGGAGCCCGACGTGGGACTCGATCCAGGGTCTCCAGGATCGCGCCCTGGGCCAAAGGCAGGCGCTAAACTGCTGCGCCACCCAGGGATCCCTCTTTTTTTTTTTTTTTTTTTTGACAGGAAGCAGGATTTATTGGTGGGCATGAATAGGGTTCGGGTGGTGCAAGGTTCTCATGAGTGGAGAGCCCTTCATTTGTCCAAGGGGCCACGATTAGGGATGTATTTGACCCCACAGCCATCTGGGATGAGCCGCTTTTCGACCACCATATCTTCAAATTTGTCCGCATTAAACTTAGTAAAGCCCCACTTCTTGGAGATGTGGATCTTCTGGCGGCCAGGGAACTTGAACTTGTCCCTGCGTAGGGCCTCAATCACATGCTCCTTGTTCTGCAGCTTGGTACGGATGGACATGATGACTTGGCCAATGTGGGCCCTGGCTACTGTGCCCTGGGGCTTCCCAAAGGCACCTCGCATACCTGTCTGCAGCCTAGATTGGAGATAGCATGATGTCAGACCTCAAAGTTGACCACAAAGGCTGTCTCCAAGGTCCCTTAGGGCAACCCATACGATCAACAGGCTGCATACACTACCAAGGAGGCTACTGTTTGCAGCCATGGCACACTGGGCCCCCATGGAGCGAGCACCTTAATATTCTTGAGATAGACTGTTACAAAGTGATCCCTTATGATTTCCACCTTCCTATCTGCACGCTTCTGTGTCATCTGCTCCTTCTTTGACTCGGTTCATTCATGTGGGCCATGGAACATAGCAAGCCATCTAAGGCTTGATACATATTTGCACATTGAGGGTTGTCCTTTTGGAATACTTTCCCTTGAAAGCCAGGGACCACGGTATGAAGGAGCTAAAATTGGACTACTCACTGGTGAAAGACCATGTGGAGAGAAGCCCCAAAGGATGAGAGGCCATCTTGGATGTTCCAACACCAGTAAATTCCAAGCTGAATCTGACCCATGGATGCCAATATGCAGCTGAAGAAATACCTAGCTGAGCTAATCAACCCGCAGAATCACGAAAAACAAAGTGCAATTGTTATTAAGCCAGTGAGTTTTTCAGGTGGTTGTTTACAGAACAATAGGTTACTGAAACACTTCTATTAACTCGGAACAACTTCCATTAATGAGCCATTCTACTCCAAAGACAGAGGCAGACATACTGGATTAGAAATTAGAGAAACCTGAATTTGAGTTCTTGTTATGTTATGTAAATAAGATTTTCTGGCCTCACTTTTTTTTTTTTTTCCCTTTTCCTCTATCAGCTCCTTTGTCCTGCCAGCCCTAACAGATTGTCCTCACATGTAGTGAGTATTCAGTAAACACTTAGGTATCAAAGATATGAATGAGTGAAATCCGTACTAGTTTGCTAGGACTGCCATAATAAAATATCAGACTTATGGCTTAAAAACAAAAAATAATTTTCTCACATTGTTGGAGGCTGGAAGACCAAAATCAAGGGGTGAGCAGATTTGGTTTCTTCTGGGGCCTTTGTCTTTAGCTTGCAAATGACCGTCTTCTTCCTGTGTCCTTACATGCCCTTTTCTATGTGTGCACAAACCCCTCATGTCTCTCCCTCTTCTTACAAGGACACTAGTCCTATTGGATTAAGGCCCCACTCTAATGACCTCAGTTTAATTTAATCATCCCTTTGAAGGCCCTATCTTCAAATACATTCACAATGATTAGTTTCCACCTATATGACCTCATTCTACCCCTTTAAAGGACCTATCTCCAAACATGGTTACATTCTGAGGTAATGGGGGTTGGAATTTCAATATTACAGATTTAGACAGGGATCCAATTCAGCCCATAACAATAGCTAAAGAACCTTAGGAACTCTGAATAATTATGCAAATATTCAATTCTGCTATTAAATTTCCATAAGCAAGCAAGCAAGCCCATAATAAAAGACATGAGAAATGATACAAGGGGACTCAATTCTGAACCACATATGATATATAAGTGGTACTAGGAGTTTGTTAAGGTCAGGTGGCAACCATTGTTCTCCTGTTTCTTCATGGTCAGGGCTACCTGGGTAAAGAGTGCTGGCAGCAGGGTTAAAGGATGCTAAATGAGTAACGAGTCTTAGAAGTTAAAAATAGGGATATCTGGAAAAATTTACTAGTTTATCTCCCCAGGAGCCATTTGTTCTTATTCCAAAGAGTAATAGACCTAGTACCTGGGTTTGTCTCCCTAGAAAGGATTTGTTTCTATTCCGCAAAATAAAAGCTCAAAAGTATTCTTTGTCTCTGAAGGTGAGGTTAGATGTGCAAGCAGTTCCAAAATAAGCTTCAAAATTCACAATTTTAGACATCCTTTTCTGTGGCATTAAACCACTGTATGTGCAGGAGATACCTGCCCTTACCATGTTGTCTCTAGAGGGACTGAGTCCTGGAAATGGCCACAGAGGTTCTAGAAGTAAATAAGTAATCTGTTCTTTAACCGCATGTTTCCTGTCAGCCTAAAGTAAACACGTACATACACATCAAAACGTGTGTAAAAATACTTAAAACAAGATGCCCTTAATAGTTAGAAATCAAATACTAGAGCCTTAATTATTTTCCCCCCTTCCAGACAGACCACTCTATCCATTTTAAGCAGTTTTATTTTTATCTTTTCCATCTTTAGTTTCTAAAAATCATGGACAGCTTTTCACTGGTCCAAATTTTTCTTTTATAATAAGCACAAGAAATTTTAATATCAAGAGAATTGGGATTTTGTTGATGTGAAAGTAATAGGATGACATGGATTCGGGTTGTTTGTGGGACATTACATCAACATGATGTTGCCTGAAACTCATCCTATCGTCTTTAAACTAGTGCCTAACACTCTGAAACTTCAGACAACTGTGTGCTAAGGACAGACAGCCCTACCTATAAGCTCATGAAAGTTTATCTTGCGAAGATTTTCCTAATTAGAAAGAAATAATATAAACAACTATATTATAATTAAAAAAGAAAAGATGCCTTATCTCCAAAGGTGAGATCGTTTCTCTAGGTAGTGGTCCTTTCAGCTTGCCTTACGTCCCTGTGCAACTTTTCTGCTTTTTCAAATTTCATCATAAATGTGACCAGTTCCTTTGCTTTAGCAGCTTCTTTTATCCTTTAGCAAATATCTAGTAAAAAAAAAAATTTAATGAAATCAAAGTACTGCTGAAATAAACGTATTTAGAGAAAGTATATCTTTACATTTGCCAACAGACTCATTGACTGTAGATGTACACTAAGGTGAACTTCTCAGGGGTTATATTCAAATGCAATCCATGTTCTACCTACTAACTACGTGTACTTCTAAAACCACTCTCAGATTTGAGTTCAAGAGGACCTTGGGTTATCTAAACCAGCCATCTACCAAAAATTTATAATATTCTTATAGATGAATGTGCAGCTGAACAAGTAAAATGGCCTCACGATCTTATAAAACCACCTATTCCATCAATGAAACTCTCTAATTGTTAGAAAATTCTTCTTTATATTGAACCAAAATTTACTCTCCCACAAATTACATCTATTGATCCTAAGTCTGGCCTATATGGACCATAAAATTTGAATCTTTTCTTCCCTCTATTCGATATCTCTTTAGATAATTGAAAGTCATTGCCATGTCTTCTTCAATTCTTCTCCTTCTTCTTCACTAAGTTATTGACATCCAAATCAGTGTTTCTTCATGCTCTTTTGACCTAAGTTTTTTACACCTCAGACTCAACCAATAATGCCTCAATACTTACTCCAAGATTGAACTCTACAACATCAATTTTATCTTTCAAATATTACAGACATATGGCCTTGGACCTACAAGCTTTTTCAGAGCTAACTATATGTAAAAGTGAGTTATTGGCTCCAAAGTACTAATCGAAACAAATAATTGAAATAAAATTTTTGTGAGATAACTGCAAATTTTACCATTTCCCAGATTCAATTTAATACTAAAAAGTAATAACAAGGGCACCCAGGTGGCTCAATAAGTTAAGCATCTGCCTTTGGCTTAGGTCATGACCCTGGGTCCTGGGATCAAACCACACATTGGGCTCCCTGCTCAGATGGGAGTCGGCTTTCCTTCTCCCTCTGCCTCTTCCCCTCTGCTTGTGCTCTCCCGCACGCATTGTACGTGCTCTCGCTCCAATAAATAAAATCTTTTAAAAAAAGAAATAGTACAGAAAGGGACACAGAACATAAAGACTTCTAACTCTGGGAAATGAACTAGGGGTGGTGGAAGGGGAGGAGGGCGGGGGGTGGGGGTGAATGGGTGACGGGCATGGAGGGGGACACTTGACGGGATGAGCACTGGGTGTTATTCTGTATGTTGGTAAATTGAACACCAATAAAAATTAATTTATAATAAAAAAAAAACAAAAAAAAAGAAAAGAAATAGTAATAACAAATGTAAACAATCAGTATGTTTTTCACACTTGTCAATAATTTCCAAGTATGTACAATGATTGCAGAGAAATGGGAGCTTCTCATAAATTAAATTATTATAGCCATCTCTCTTTAGGAGTCAAAAGCAAAACTCAAAAATCTTCACAAAATATAACCAATATACATGTTTATGATCTTAATGCTATCCACATTTTAACTTAATATTAAGGACTTAAACAGAATTAAGAGAGCCTATAAAGATCTTAAAATTGGTTCTTAAAATTATACAATAAAACCTCAACAAAAATCACCTGAGGAATATATGTTGCATGCAGGGTTCTGGACCCATTCACCCCTACTAAATTAATAGTCTAAAGTTTCAATGCTACTGATTTTAACTACAAACTTCCAGGTCCTATTCCTAATTTTGTTTGTCATTTGGTCACCCTTATCTGACTTCTGGCCTGCAATCTGTTTCCTGTTAGGTACACTGATACGTGTAACCCCCTGCTAGCTCCAAGTAGTCAATCCTCACATTATCATCATAGTGCCCCAACTAGGGACCAAAATCAACATAGAGCTTTTAATTTAAATTGTATTCACGATATATACCAACAAGAAAAATGACAAGGCGATTTGTCAAAATAAAATCTTTCCAACATTCCCAGAGCTAGAGTACCGCACATTTTTAATTTTTTTTCCTTCTTGCTCCATGATTCCAGCTTTAATTACTTCAGACAATTGGAAACTGCTGCCCTGAGAGCAAAAGTGAAGTTAATCCCCCCAAGGAGGAGGAAGAACTATCCCTAAACCGAAGTGGAGGTTAATTATAGCTCAAGCAATTCATCTTGAGTCATGGCTAGAAGACTCTGAAGTAAAGAGTCTCATTTCTTGAGCCACTTAAAAAAATAGAGAAAACTAGGATCTTTTTAAAGACTCATTACCAAGCCAGGGAACGTTGCCAGATTTTTTTTTTTTTCCTAGTGGTAGATTTTGGTTAGTCATTTTTCTCAGAATGATTCTAGCAGCTACAGTGCCTTAAATGGTCTCCAAGGAACCTGAAAATAGTGATAGAGTCTCCGTAAATACTACTAGGGTATGACGTAGAGTCCAAGAATTATGGAATTCAATAAATATTAATAAATCTTAATGACAATATCAAATATATTCCCATAGGATATTCAGCTTATCTGCTTTTTATATCGTTTTTGACAGGAGAATTTCATCTCCTGTAGAAGATGACACAGCCAACACTGCCCTAATACCACTATCTGAAGACATAAACATTTATTATTGTG